ATTGTATTGAGGCTGTCTCTTATACACATCTAGATGTGTATAAGAGACAGGCCCAGTTCCGCTCATTGGCTCGGCCGTCTCGCGCCGAATGATCTCGCCTCTGATTGGTCACTGTTTTTCGTTAATAACTCGTTAACGGTGCCTCGGAGAACATTTTTGTAAAGGAAGAAGTTGCTTCAAATGATCCGAGGAACCCGCCATTTCCGGATTGCGAGACATTTTTGGGACACCCTGTAATTGTATTGAGGCTGTCTCTTATACACATCTAGATGTGTATAAGAGACAGGCCCAGTTCCGCTCATTGGCTCGGCCGTCTCGCGCCGAATGATCTCGCCTCTGATTGGTCACTGTTTTTCGTTAATAACTCGTTAACGGTGCCTCGGAGAACATTTTTGTAAAGGAAGAAGTTGCTTCAAATGATCCGAGGAACCCGCCATTTCCGGATTGCGAGACATTTTTGGGACACCCTGTAATTGTATTGAGGCTGTCTCTTATACACATCTAGATGTGTATAAGAGACAGGCCCAGTTCCGCTCATTGGCTCGGCCGTCTCGCGCCGAATGATCTCGCCTCTGATTGGTCACTGTTTTTCGTTAATAACTCGTTAACGGTGCCTCGGAGAACATTTTTGTAAAGGAAGAAGTTGCTTCAAATGATCCGAGGAACCCGCCATTTCCGGATTGCGAGACATTTTTGGGACACCCTGTAATTGTATTGAGGCTGTCTCTTATACACATCTAGATGTGTATAAGAGACAGGCCCAGTTCCGCTCATTGGCTCGGCCGTCTCGCGCCGAATGATCTCGCCTCTGATTGGTCACTGTTTTTCGTTAATAACTCGTTAACGGTGCCTCGGAGAACATTTTTGTAAAGGAAGAAGTTGCTTCAAATGATCCGAGGAACCCGCCATTTCCGGATTGCGAGACATTTTTGGGACACCCTGTAATTGTATTGAGGCTGTCTCTTATACACATCTAGATGTGTATAAGAGACAGGCCCAGTTCCGCTCATTGGCTCGGCCGTCTCGCGCCGAATGATCTCGCCTCTGATTGGTCACTGTTTTTCGTTAATAACTCGTTAACGGTGCCTCGGAGAACATTTTTGTAAAGGAAGAAGTTGCTTCAAATGATCCGAGGAACCCGCCATTTCCGGATTGCGAGACATTTTTGGGACACCCTGTAATTGTATTGAGGCTGTCTCTTATACACATCTAGATGTGTATAAGAGACAGGCCCAGTTCCGCTCATTGGCTCGGCCGTCTCGCGCCGAATGATCTCGCCTCTGATTGGTCACTGTTTTTCGTTAATAACTCGTTAACGGTGCCTCGGAGAACATTTTTGTAAAGGAAGAAGTTGCTTCAAATGATCCGAGGAACCCGCCATTTCCGGATTGCGAGACATTTTTGGGACACCCTGTAATTGTATTGAGGCTGTCTCTTATACACATCTAGATGTGTATAAGAGACAGGCCCAGTTCCGCTCATTGGCTCGGCCGTCTCGCGCCGAATGATCTCGCCTCTGATTGGTCACTGTTTTTCGTTAATAACTCGTTAACGGTGCCTCGGAGAACATTTTTGTAAAGGAAGAAGTTGCTTCAAATGATCCGAGGAACCCGCCATTTCCGGATTGCGAGACATTTTTGGGACACCCTGTAATTGTATTGAGGCTGTCTCTTATACACATCTAGATGTGTATAAGAGACAGGTGGCGCGTCGTCCAGAGAGATGACATCCGCGAAAGCCACTATAGTGGCGCGTCGTGCCTAAAAGGTTAACAGCGAGCAGCAACGCGTCCCGACAACACGCGCCGCTGAAACATTGAGATACGAAAATAAACGTCGCAACGAAGCGTCGCTCGAACAGCTTGATAATATGTATTTCGAAATTTCCTGCACAACGACGCGGGCGAAATTAATTTCATTAAAAAAAGAAAAAAAGAAAACGAGATTAATGTACATTGCGGAACGTAAAACTGTCCGTCGTCACAGGTCTCGCGCAACGACGTGATCGTAATTAATTTAATAATTTATCGGAATCAAATTAATTCGCGTTTCGCTTTACGCGACGCGCAAAATTGTTTCAATTTTGATCCGATCGCGTTGTTTACAGTTTCCTTGTTTTCTACGCCTCTCTGTTCGTGTCGTATTGATTTCGAAGCTTGCGTGGATTCGATGCCAAGAGAAACAAACGTCCTCCGTCCCTTGGGAAAAACAAAGGACGGACCCTAGACTCGCGTCTGAACACGCTGTACAAGGACTATTTTACTCGACCTTCGGCGGCACGATTTTTCTTTTGTTTAAAGGGTTATGGCCACTGTTGGGCGAGGTATAAAGGAGAGCGCGCAAAGCGCGCCGAAACAAAGGGCTCGCGGTTTTGCGGTACGAATAGCGACGGGTACAACGGCGCGGACTAGGATGGCCCTTAAGGATCGCTGGAAGAGGAAATTGCCGGGCTAGACGCGAGCTGCGGCTCGCGTGGCTCGATTATCGAGCGCTATCGACAGGCTATCGCGCTATCGGCGAGTGGCAGCGGCGTACAATGGGCACGTTGGCCGGCCCGAACCGCTCGTCCCCGTGAATCAACGATGAAATCGGCGATCGGGAGAGACAATGAGGCCGATAATAAAAGATCCTCGTGCGGGGATCTGGCCCGGGCTTCCGGCAGCACGGTTTTCACGCTGCGCGGGGGGGGGGGGATGAATATGAAAAACGAGGAGACCTAAACGCGCGTGCGAACGACGCGCGAGAGTTCGACACGTTTTGGAAATCGCCTAACACCGCGATCGATCGATCACGAGCGATCGCAGCGATCGCTCTTTCGGCGCACACGGGACCCGATTTTGTTTCTCGGAGAACAATCGAAGCTGCCTTCTTTGAAGGTCGTTGCTTCGTTCAGAGATTCTAAATATTCTTTCGACACTAGATTTTTTCGGAATCCGTCGGAATGACGGGTCACTAATATGATTCATTTACGATTATGTATTTATTTATTCCTTTTTATTTTATTACATTTACGAGTTATTTATTCGATTTATGTGTTGTTATTTTACGGCAAATGTTACGATAACGCTTGCTAAAAATGAGGATAAATGTGTTTTTTATTGTTACTTTTATAAACTTATTAATTTAGTTAGATTGAAACTTATTAGCTTATAAAAGTAACAATGTGACATTTATTAGTTATGCGCCTTTATCACTCGATTTACGGAGCACAAAAAGCAGCTGTTTTATATTCCAGCTGTTTTTTTGTGCTCCGTAAATCAAGCGATAAAGGCGCATAACTAATAAATGTCTCATTGTTGTTTTATAAGCTAATAAGTTTCACTTGATTTACGGAGCACAAAAAGCAGCTTTTTTATATTCCAGCTGTTTTTTGTGCTCCGTAAATCAAGCGACAAAGACACATAACTAATAAATGTCTTATTGTTACTTTTATAAACTAATAAGTTTCAATCCAACTAAACCAATAGTTAAATAAATAAAGGCGCATTTCAAAATATTCAAAATATTCTTTTAAAGTTCCACTGAACTTGGAATTAGACTCGTTGATGGACCGCGAATTTGATGCAGTTACGAGAAAAATGCGTGGGGAAGCTCGATTACCCGGATTCGACAGGAATGAATGTTCGGATAACAGAACGTTCGCTTGGTTACAGCACTAGATTTCATTCTGATCGATGCGCATAGTAAGTCATCTTGCATGTGGGTTGCCGTCGATCGCGTGTGAAACACGTTTCATATTGAAACGATTTACGAAACAGTTTAAAACGCTACGAACATTAAAAAAGAAAAGCCGAGGAGTATCGACGTAATTACATCCTCGACTTACGAAAAGTATTACGAATAAAGAAGAATCCCCAAGTCGTTCGTACTCTTCGCAACAGACGCAGAAAACGTTTCTTTCCCGTAATGATCCGCGGTCTACTCATTAGACACGTATCCCTTTTTTATTGGGCCCTCTCGAGCACCAGTTCCGAAGGGAGGCACCCAGCTCGGTGCAAGCCTCGTTAGGCGAACCAGCCCTGATTCTATGGTTCGAGATATTCGCAGTGACAGCGAATATTCCTCGCGCGTTCGGCGGTCGTTTGTCACAAAAGGCGCCGTATCATCAATCGTTGTTAGTCGTCTATCATTTCTTGCCGACCCTAGACAATTTCGTTTCTCCGACACGCGGGATGCCACTGACCTGGCCGTCACCCCGGAGATTCGAGCGCATCGCGAGCAGTGATAAATATCATTTTACAAGCGCGCGCGCGCGCGAATCTTTCGACGACATTGCGCGCGAGGCGAAGTCGATGAAACGGCACCTGTTTCACCGAGGAGAGACGAAACGCTCTGTGAAACGCCCCGCGTCGGCTTCGAGGGCTCGTTTATCCCGAGAGTCGCACGTCATCCGCACTAGACACGTTTTGTCCACTTTCGGAGTTAATATCGAACGTCAAATGCGAGAAGAGAGCAATTTAGCGAGCCAATATCCGATGTCCCGCAGTTTATACGCGCGCCCGTGTAAATATAAAAACGAATATGAAAAACGCAGCCAGCTCACGGGACGTCAGTCGCAGACCAACGGCGCGAGCACGTCGAACTTTTTAATTCTCGATCGAATAATCACCGTTCGAAGCAGCGCTCGCGTATCTGTCTTTTCCGCTTTGCAGCCGCGTCGATTAAAGCGTGATCGATTCGCCGGTTCACGATGAAAGCTCGCGAGAAAGAGGAAGATGCCTGGATGTAAGCGGATGTAACCGTCGATTCGACGAAGTAGAAGCCGATTATCGTTGCGTCGATTTTAGGGCGATCGTATCCCGTTGCTCGGGGCGAAGCTAATCGAGATCGCAGCGAACCCTGACGCGTTTAGCTTCGATCGGACGACGAAAGACGCGGAAATACGCCGAAATCTAGACACCTCGAAAGCTCGCTCGAGCGACTCTGGCGCGAAAGAACTACTCGCGAGAACTTCGCGAGAACTCGACTCGACCGGAGCCGAAGGTCGATCCCGCGATTTACCTGTCTGGCACCCTAAGCGCTGGAAAATCGTGGCGGTCCGCTCGGCGGGTGGTCTTTTTGGTGGGTAGCGGGGCTAGCAGTTCTCTGGCAGTTCATCGTTTCCTCGATCGAATGGCTCGATCAGTGTTGTCCCCGCGGCTGTGAGGATCGGCGGTGTCGGCGCGTGCCGCGGGAAATCTCGATTATCTGGACCGAGGGCAGCCCGGCCCGGTCGGCGGCACGGTGAACAGAACGTGTTTCACAGGGCGGTTACGCGCGCTCGGGTTAGGACAACGAGCCGGTCGATCCCGTTTCCTCGGCGCCGAGCCTAGAACCCGTCCCGAATTTGTTTTCCTCGCCGAGTCCAGCTTCGTTCTCGCACGGCGCGAGAGATCGATTCTAGGTCGGCCGGGGATCGATAGGGTTGATTTCTTGCGGCGAGCCCTGTCGCGTCAACGTGCCCTGTCCCGGTGTCCTCGCGTGTGTGCCAGGAAATCCGTCGATGTCGGCGGGTTCGTCGATCTTGTCCGTTCGAGTCGAGTCACGTCCCTCGGATGCCTGCACAACCACCGAGCCGCTCTCTTTCTCTCTCTCTCTCTCTCACTCTCTCTCTATTCCTCTCTTCCTCTCCCTCGCCCCTATCTTCTGTTCCGCCAGCCGCGATTAATCCAGCCGTCTCATAGCGACAAACCTCGTTCGCCCCGCTCCGCTTCCGGCCGATTCTTCTTCTGAAATATTCCCGTCCGCTCGCGTTTCGCCGCGGCGAAACTACTCTGGGACACGAAGCCGGCTCGCTCGGCTCTCTTTCCTACCGATCGATCGCAACGCCGTTGTTTGACTCGGTTTGAAGGCGTTTCACAGCTTTGTGTACGTAGGCGATTAACTTCGCCGCGAGGCCGTCCGACTCGGCGCGAACGCGTCCGAATCGGTGGTTCCGAGAAGAGCCGGCCGATTTCGCTCGAACAGCTTCCAGAAAGGACTTTCCCAGGCGAAACACACTGTTTCCCTCGTACCGAACCGAACCGACCCGACCCGACCCGATCAGAACCTCGTGCAACTACCCGGTGCCACGTCAACGGGTATCTCGCGTGCTCGATCTGCGGCGGCTTTCGGCCGACTGCTCGCGGAAACGCGACGCTTGCCGCGCGCCACACGCGGATCCGCGCGCGCCTGCGTCGCTACCAATCGCCGTGATAAGCTTCCGATGCGTTTCCGATATATCCCGCACGAGGCCCTGATTAATTCAACACCGCCAGGACGCATTAGTCAGCCGCCGGTCTCAGGGCCAAGTCGTTTAATGAACCCAAAGAGAACTATCCCGGAACTTCGCGCACTTCGTCCGCGGCCCCCGATTAAGTTCCCGGAATTTCCGGCGGATACGGTCTTCGAGGGACGATGACACGCTGCTTTACAGGTAACTGAAAAATTCATCCTGGCTGCTTAAAAGATAGACGGTGTCTCGGGGATTGGTGTCTGAGAGGAGTCGTCACGATCGGACGAGCGGTTTGAGAAGCGACGTTAAATGATTAATTTCCGGAGTTCAAAAAATTTGACACGGTCGGCTAAACCCTCTAGATTAATGCAAAAATAAATTCAACTCGATCAGACAAATAGTTTTGGAAATAAAAATTTGACAGTGTCGGTTTTCCCGAGGGTTGATTGAGACGTCGAACTTGGACCATAAGTTCCTCTGGTTCACATGCGTTTCTGCAGTCCAAAAAATTAGTCCCGCTCGGCTAAACCATCAAGATTAATGCAAAAATAAATTCAACACGATCGGACAAATAGTTTTCGAAATACAAATTTAATATTACCGGTTTTCCCGAGGGTTGATTGAGACGTCGACTTTGGACCATAAGTTCTTCTGGTTCACATGCGTTTCTGGGGTTCAAAAAATTAGTCCTGGTTGACTAAACCCTCTAGATTAATGCAAAAGAAAATTCAACTCGATCGGTCAAATATTTTTGTAAATAAAAATTTAACAGTATCGGTTTTCCCGAGGGTTGATTAAGACGTCGACTTTGGACCATAAGTACCTCCAGTTCACATGCGTTTCTGGGGTCCAGAAAATTAGTCCTGGTCAGCTAAACCCTCTAGATTAATGCAAAAATAAATTCAACTCGATCGGACAAATAATTTTGGAAATAAAAATTTGACAGTACTAGTTTTCCCGAGGGTTGATTGAGACGTCGAACTTGGACCATAAGTTCCTCCAGTTCACATGCATTTCTGGGGTCCAAAAAATTAGTCCTGGTCGACTAAACCCTCTAGATTAGTGCAAAAATAAGTTCAACTCGATCGGTCAAATAGTTTTGGAAATAAAAATTTAACAGTACCGGTATTCCCGAGGGTTGATTGAGACGTCGAACTTGGACCATAAGTTCCTCCGGTTCACATACGTTATTTGGCCTTAAAAATCTAATTTCTCAAGATTGAAACAATTTTCTTTTCTTTTATCTATCTCCTGGTATCTCGCCTGAGATTCCTATCGACCTACAAGAAAATACAATCGACAAAAAGTTGTTAACAATACAATACATGCAATCGCAGTGTGTAAACCAGATGATAGCATTACCTTAAGTATACTATATTGCATTATATTACGTCCAACAAAGCAAATTGTTTGTTCCCGCAATTGTTCAATTACAATAGTACGTGCCATACTACGTGATTAATATCTTGGCTAGGGCAACCACATTGACACACTGGATCATCTATAGTTCCAACTCGGACATGCGATGCACGTAAACTATAATGATTTGCCCTAGATCGGTCGAAACAATTAATCTGCAAAAAGAAGAATCATTTCGTTCGATCAATCAGTTTTCGAGAGGAAAGCTCGCAAATACGGCGCCCTTTCACGAGAATACAGTAAATTCTCCCTAATTCTCCTTCAGCTTGTAAACAAAAGTTTGAGAAGAGGAAATACGATTATTCGAGCCTCGCACTTTGTTTTTATAATTGTTGACAATCGGCAAATCGAACAATCGTATCTCCTCTTCCCAAATTCTCCATTATTGTTTACAAGTTGAAGAGAGAATCGACGAGAATTTTTAATTCAGTTTCGAATCGTGAAACTATCCGAAAGCAAAAATCTGCTTCGCTTCAGCCGCGCTTCTGAATTTTTATTTGAGAAACCGCTTGCCCTATCGAATCCGTTCTTTCCTCACGCAAACCTACAATGTAAACTCTGCTCCGACGATTTTCCCGAATCGAAAAATCAACTTTTCAACGCCGAGAACCGTGTACACAAACCGGACGATCCTCGCAAAATTGTAAAACTCGAAAATGCTTTCGAAACGACTTCGAGATCGAAACGATGACTCAACCCCGCCCCTCTCCCCCAACAATTTCGCATTGCACACACCGGTAAAACGTTCGACCCTTTTTCCCCGCGATCCCTTGCATGCAGTCCCTTTGAGATGCGAGACACGAAAGTCACGAGATGGCACTCAAAGATGCGAAACGTTACGTTCCAGCGATCTATCGAGAGTTCCTTGCTCCAATAATTTCTGGTATAAGGGTTCTGTTGTAACCGGGCACGTGTCCCGCCTCGATGATTTCTCGGCAGCCTGACGTTTTAACTCGATCCAGCTGGAAATGAATCACGGAGCATTGTGCGCCGGCTTTCGTACAGCCAGGCGGCGGCGGCGCAACCCGGGCTATATTGTTCACTTATTTATGAGCGGTACCGCTGAGCCACGGTGGTCTCCGGCATGGACCACAGTGAACGAACCCTCTGAATAAGTGAAACATTTCTTCCCTCGCCACTCATAATCGTTCCGTGACAAAAGACACCCGTCGGTCCGAAATTTCTTGGACACGTTCGCCGGCCACGACCAATAAAATTTCCGCGAAGTCGAAGCAATTTGAGCAATCGAACCGAAACTAGAATGCTAAAATTTATCGTAGCGCATGACATTAGAACCCTTCCGCATGCGAAATAGCCTAATCAAGTTCAGTTTGTTCGGATAGATTGCGATGCGAACGAATGTTCAAAATTGAGCCGTTTATTTTGTGTTTTGTCCGTACGTTCGGTTAGTCGCCTAACGTACATGCGCGACCGAACTATTGTACGCTCGATTCGCGCTTCCTACGGCAAATTAATGACGTGGAAGGATCTCTAGTAGTCTTAGAGAACTTTATTTATTGTGTTGTACTCTCTGCGAGCGCTGGTGGAAGAATGCTCTTCCAACGCTGGAAAGTCGTGGAAGAGCACCCGTGGATGGAGGTAGATTGTTTATTATTGGTCAAGGCACGAATCACCCCTTGGAGGGGGGTGTCTGCCTTGACCCTTGTTGGGGCCTGAGAGGGTTTCCCCAATGGTGGGACCTTTTTATGGCCCTTGTCTCTGGACGCAACATTTTGAAAGTGGCGTAAGTCACTTTGTTTTTAAGTCGATGTATTTAAGGGTTTGCGAGAACTTTCGAGAAGATTTGCTTGTATTTGTTGTCTCAGGATACTGATATTTTTCTCGGTATAAATAGTTTCGTGTAAACATTCAAAAATCACCACTTTTCATTACGGTAAAGTGACTTATGCCACTTTCTTAATAAACGGATCAATTGGTGAAAAATTAGGGTCACTCATATGCGACCGGCGCGGCGCTCAACGTGTTAACACGTTGATGTACATTAAGGTTAAATTAATTAATTAATAATTACTCGAGGTTTGCGTAATTGATTGGGCGACAGTGTTATGGAAATGAAAATTCGTAAACGATTTACTGTGCATCGATTTAAATTAACCCTTTGCGCTCGAGTAACGACACCGAGGCGCTATAAAAAAATTTTTATATCACGTTTAAAAATACTTCTTAACATCGTCGAGTTTGTTTACATTTGAAAAACTGTGCGAAGCGTAATTGTTGCTCGAGTCACGAAGTTCAATGTCGTATGCATAAAATGCAGTAAGTTATGTCAAGTGGAAGTACTATAGGTCGGAGAAGTTATTTTAGAGTTAAAATGACTTCGAGTGCAAAGGGTTAACGCTGTAGATATTAGGATTATATAGAGAAACATAATCCAACTGAAATGTTTATTGTCAACTTATTTGCCACATATCATAGCGCGCTTTGCATTAAGAAACACTTTCCGTTGCGGACAATAGAATAAAGAATAAAATATTAGAAGAATTAGAAGAATTAGAAACTGGATACGCGAAAGAAATTGCACTTAATAATGAACAACAATAATTACAGTAATTTCTCCCTAATTCGCGCTCAGATTGCGCACAAAAGTGGACAATTTGGGAATAGGAGATACGATTATTCGAGCCTTGCGATTTCTGCAGCCGTCGACAATCGGTAACTATAACATAATAAATAACTAAAATAAACTATAATAACTAAAATAAATAATTAAAAACTAAAATAAGTAACTAAGAACTAAATACAACATAATACAATCGGTAATAAAATAATCCTTCTTTCACCAGTGACAGTCAACGTCCAACCCTAAAAAAGCTATAAACTATAATAAACTATAATAACTAAAATAAATAACTAAGAACTAAATACAACATAATACAATCGGTAATAAAACAATCCTTCTTTGACCGGTGACAGTCAATGTCCAACCCTAAAAAAGCTATAAACTAAAATAAACTATAATAACTAAAATAAATAACTAAAAACTAAAATAAATAACCAAGAACTAAATACAACATAATACAATCGGTAATAAAACAATCCTTCTTTCACCAGTGACAGTCAACGTTCAACCCTAAAAAAGCTAAACCGATACACGCCGTTGCGAAGCGAATAAAAATCGTTCCGCGATCAAAATCGAGCAGCGTCTAGACAAACGAAGTGCCGCGATCTTCGGGAGACAATATCGAATTTTGCAACTGGCAGAGCGAGACTCGTGGAAGAAGAGAAATTTCACGAAAATGGGAAGACCGTCTTTGCGTATCGATTGCGCGCATCCAATCTCTATAAGTTCGCGGCGAAGATCACCGGCGGGGCCATTATGTGCGAAAGGTGGAACGGTTGGTTGGGCGGCGCCCAAAAATGACCCTTGTAATTTTTCCGAAGGATCCCCGGACGGGGGAGAGAGAGAGAGAGGGGGCGGCGACGGGGATAAAGCAGCGAAAATGAACGATATTAT